TTTCTTTTTATAAATATTAGATAAGTCACAAAATTTCGAAGAACAGCCAAGTAGTTATGTTACCCCCAGGCCATATCCTAGGTAAATTAGAGAGAAATTGAGAATGGAAAATGTTTGGCCTCTTTTTAAAGGAAAGTAAAACAAAACAGGTCATAGTGACAGATTGTAATAAGGACTCCATGGATAAGAGTAGAGAAATTAACAATATTTTGTTCTGCTTCATTCAGGAAATGTGAATATTTATAACATTTTGTAAATGCCTATGCTCAAAAAGGAAATGCCATTATGTTTAAAAAAAATTGAGAAAAAATTGTTGGTAAAATGTTTTGTGTTATATTGTTTAAACAATCAGGCGGGAAGGAAATGATATGGTAAAAAGATTGTTTTAATTGTCTCATTAATTATGTAAGATTCCTTTCTAAGAGGATATAATACTGTAGTAAGGAGACAAAATCTACTTTTTAAAAGTAGATTGATCTAAAATTTTTCCACTTAATATTTAAAGAGCTCCATTAGCTTCATATTTTAGTTATTAAAATATTTTAGTATATTTGTCAAAATATATAGTTACATTGGTGGGCAATTAAGTTTCTTTTTCTTTAAAACGGCACATCTTAAGTTTATATTCAGATAAAGGATTAAATTCCTCCTTTATCACCTACTCTTAAAGGATTTGTTTCCCATGAATAAAGAACTGTCACTTCACACAGAGCCTTATTTCTTTTCCTGACACACTTTATAACTATATAGATTTAGCTTTTGTTTTGCTGGGTGTTTCTTTTTGTATTTGTTGTTGTCATTGTTAGGTGCTATCAAGTTGAGTACAACTCATAGTAATCCATATAAGTAACAAATCTGAATCTTGTCCTGTCCTCTGCTGTCCTCACAGTCTCTGACAGAGTCCCTGTGTCAGTCTACCCCACTGAGGGTCTTCCTCTCTTTTGTTGCCCCAATCAATGACTTATTCATTGCAAATACGTTTTTTAAGAGACATAAACGTAGATTATACACATGGATTTCACCTGATGGTATGCATAGGAATCAGATCGATTACAACTGTGGAAAAATACCGCTGGAGAAGCTCAATATCAGCTGTGAAAACTAGGCCAGGAGCTGATTGTGGAACAGACCACCAACTACTCATATGCAAGTTCAAGCTGAAGCTAAGGAAAATTAAATTGAATCCACAGGAGCCAAGATATGACTTTAATTTCATACCACCTGAATTTTAGAATCATGTCAGGAACAGGTTTGAGGGCTTCAATGCTAATGAGCGAAGACCAGATGAGTTGTGGGAGGATGTTAAATGTATCATCCAGGAAGAGTGCAGGCGGTCATTACAAAGACAGAAGAGGATGAAAAGACCAAAGTGGATGTCAGAAGAAACTCTGAAGATGGCACTGGAACGTAGAGAAGCCAAAGCACAAGGAAGAATCCAAGACACTAAAGAGCTGAACAGAAGATTCCAAAAGGCAGCACGGGATGACAAAGCAAAATACTACAATGAAATGTGCGAGGAGCTAGAGTCAGAAAATCAAAAGGTCCGAACTCGTTCAGCATTTCTTCCTTTTTTTAAAATTTAGTTTATTTTTCATTTCAATGAAAATCTACAGAGATTTTGGAATTCTATTCATTCATTGTTGCACCCTTCTCCCCGTACACACCCCGCCCCCCGTTTGCTCCTCTTCTTGAAAAGCAAAAGAAAAACTCCCTCATTGGTATGCAATCCCCCCACACCTCCCCAAACCCCACATATTTAGAGAAGAACTGTCACCAATTCTATAGAAACTATTTCAAAAAATAGAACAAGATGGAACACTCCCAGACTCATTCTATGAAGCAAACATATCCTTGATACCAAAGCCAGGAAAGGACACCACCAAAATAGAAAACTATAGGCCAATATCTCTTATGAACATACATGCAAAAATCTTGAACAAAATATTGGCCAAAACATTTCTTAAGCCCAAGGAACTGAAGAACAGATTCAAACCTCGAGTTGCTACAATCAAGGATGCTTTAGGCAGAATGTTAAATGATCCAGGGGGTATCAAAAGAAGATGGAAGGAATATACTGAGTCATTGTATCGAAAGGAATTGGCAGATACAGAAGAATTTAATGAAATAGAATTTAAGCCAGAGCCAATGGTGATGGAGGCTGAAGTTCAAGCTGCTTTGAAGGAAATAGCAAAAAAGAAGGCCCCCGGAATAGATGGTATACCAATTGACATATTTCAGCTAACAGATGCTGCCGTGGACGTGCTCACCAAGTTGTGCCAAGAAATCTGGAGAACAACCACTTGGCCAACTGACTGGAAGAGGTCTGTATTTGTTCCCATCCCAAAGAAGGGCGACCCAACTGAGTGTGGAAACTACAGAACAATATCATTGATTTCACATGCAAGCATGACTCTACTGAAGATTATCCAAAAATGCCTGGAACAGTACATAGGCAGAGAACTGCCAGAAGTCCAGGCTGGGTTTAGAAGGGGTCATGGTACTTGGGATATTGTTGCTGATGTTAGATGGATCTTGGCTGAAAGCAGAGAATACCAGAAGAATGTCTATCTGTGTTTTATTGATTATGCAAAGGCATTTGACTGCATGGATCATAACAAACTGTGGCTGACTCTGAGAAGAATGGGAATCCCAGAACATTTAATTGTGCTAATGCGAAACCTATACTTGGACCAAGAGGCAGTCGTCAGAACAGAGCAGGGCAACACTGCATGGTTCAAAATTGGGAAGGGTGTACGCCAGGGGTGTGTCCTGTCTCCATACCTTTTCAACCTGTATGCAGAGCAGATTATCCGAGAGGCTGGGCTCTATGAGGAGAAGCGTGGCGTTAGGATTGGTGGACGATCTATCAACAATCTGCGTTATGCAGATGACACAACCCTGCTCGCTGAAACTGAGGAGGACCTCAGGCACTTACTGCAGAGGGTCAAGGACTGCAGCCTTCAATATGGACTCAATATCAAGAAGACAAAAATTTTCACCACTGGACCAATCAGTAGCATCAGGATGGATGGTGAAGAGATTGAGATTGTCCACAGCTTCAGTTTGCTCGGCTCCATGGTCAACAGTCTTGGCACCAGTAGCCAGGAAATAAAAAAACGTATTGCGATGGGAGAGTCTGCGCTTAGGGACCTCTTTAAAGTACTCAAGAGCAACGGTGTCTCTCTGGAGACTAAGGTGCGCCTGATACAGGCCACGGTTTTTGCAATCACTTGTTATGCATCAGAGAGTTGGACAATGACTAGGGAGGATGGAAGGAGAATTGACGCCTTTGAGCCTGTCTGTGGTGCTGGAGAAGAGCATTGAATGTACCATGGACTGCCAAGAAAACAAATAGATTCATCGTAGAGAGGGTTAAACCAGGCTGCTCCTTGGAGGCAAGGATTCTGGGGCTTCCCCGGACATAATTTGGACATGTCTTTAGAGAGGGACATCATGCTGGGCAGAGTGGAGGGACAGCGCAGGAGGGGAAGACCCTCTATGAGGTGGATTGATTCAGTGACTGGGGTAATCGGGATGGGTGTGTCAGGGGCAATGAGATTGGCACAGGATAGAGCACGGTTTAGGGCTGTTGTACATAGGGTCGCTATGAGTCGCAAATGACTCGACGGCACATAACAACAGCAACAGCAACCACCTTCTGAGCATAATGTCCCTCTCCAAGGAATAGCCTCTCTTAGCAACACAACTAAAATGTATGAAATGAAGCTTTAATACCCTTGGGTTTAAAAAGTACTCTGAATTTCTCCAAGACATATTTGTTTGTTCTTTTGGCAACATAGTACTCTACTAGAATATAAACTCTCCTAAGAAAGGAACATGTTTAGGCCTTGTTTAAGAAAGAATAAACTAGAATCTGATTACCTTCGGTTTGATTTCAATTCATAGTGACTCTTCATTGTGTTTCTGAGACTGTAAATTTTAAAGGGAAGAGACTATCCATTTCCACTTATGCTGTTATAGATGATTTGACTCTTTATAGACACCAAGCCTTATGGCTAGCTGTGCAACCAACTGTGGTCTGCACCATGAGACCTCCCTCTGTTAAAAATAGGAGGGTTGATAGCTTTGACAGAAATGATTCGTGTTTAGTGAAGCTGAGACCAATTGAGAATGGGCTTCTGTTAATAAGCTTGATAAACTGCCACTCTTCACCCCAGGCATAAAGATTTTTTATTGGCATAAAATATTACCCTCAACACTACTAAATGAAAGTCTGTAGTTTGAATTCACTGAAAAAAAAAAAGATAAGATAGTCCCATCTTGTAAAAATATACAGCCATGGAAATTGACCAGTCAGTGATGGAAGGTCACTCTTAGCCAGGATGGATTCAGCAGCATTGGCTTTTATTACATTCTCAGTAGAGGAAAAATCATTTAGGAACACTTATGAGTTAAGAGACTCTAAGACAGGAGTTTCAGTTCATAAGAGAGCAGTGTTTGGTGCTATTCATTTGCAGCCAACTTATAGCTGAACCTCTACTTGGGTTTTCAGAGGGTGGAAATTGTGTAGGAGACTGCTTATCTTTCTTACAATGTTGGTGGATACGAACAGACTACTTTTCACTTGGCAATGCAAATCTTTATCTACTAGGCCATAGGAGCTACTACACTAAGTGATTAGCAAAATTATCTTAAAGCATGCTTTCAAGCTCTCAGTTACAAATCCTCTTTAAAAGTAGTGGCTTTCTTCAATTTGAACAGTACCCTCACTTTCTAATCACAAAAAAGCACATGGTTTGAATCCTCCACCTGCTCCTGGGATAAAGATAGGCAGTCTTTTCCCATGTGATTTACTGCTTCTGAAAATCCACTGGAGGTTATCTATAGCTATTTTTGTATCTATATTTTTGAAATATAGAACAAAATAGCTATATTATTTAATTTACTGATTCTTAATTTATACGTAACAGAAATAACATTGAAAACTCATCATATGTAATGCATTTAATAATTTTTTTCCAAAAAACCTTTTCTTCTAGATCACTCCTGTTCCTGGTACTCATCCACTTTTAGTTTTTGTGAACCCAAAAAGTGGTGGGAAGCAAGGAGAACGGTATGTTTATAAAAACCGTATTTCTTTTTAATATCAAATGTGTGTAAAAATTATCAACAAAAATGTAAATATATTTCTAAAATATATTCTTTTATAAAAATGTCAGTGTAAAATATTGCTAAAATATCTATAATGTATTGAAATAACTTATTCTTGTTTTTATAGTTTGCATTTTAACAAAATAGTTGCTTTTTGTAACTATGTTTATGAATTAATGTCTAAATTTTGTCCATATTATGTGTCATCCCAGTCATTAACAAAGAACTTCATATACAGTATTTTTCCATAAGTACTGATTAATGAAAATTAGTTCTTTCACTAGGCGGAAGGATTTTTCAGGTAAATCATTACTCAGTGCTGGACAATAGTAGTTTATCTCATTAGGCAGGCTGAAAACACAGAATTTCATTTCATAATGAAGAAATTATTAAATTTTAATTTTTAATAAAATTGAGAAAAATCACTTCTTGAATAGTAATCATGTTAAATAGTTGAGTAGAACCAAAAAATCTAGATATACCTGTATTCTAGAAATTTTATTGCTTTTTAAAAATACAAACTAAACACAATAATAAACTAAGTAGGAAAAAATGTTGTTTATTAAATAATTTTAATGACTTAAATTTATGTATCTCAAGGAAATGATTAGCGGTCTTTATATTTTAACTGACAGAGTATTATTTCTGATAAAGGAGAATATTTTCTTTGTTCCTTCCCCCCCTTCTTGTTCATCATTGTATAGTTATATCATTACTATGTTAAAGATGATAGATGATCTACATCAGCATAGCCTCTGCATTGCTTTGTTTCTGAAATGTTTTTCAGCAGAACGTCCAGATTAACACAGACTAAAGAGAAAGACCTAGACACATTCTTAAAAGGAAAAAAAAATACCCAAACAAACCAAACCCATCAATGCAAGTCCTACTAATCACATTGTTATAACTCAGTTTTGTTTAGGATCACCACAACTTGAGGCCAATTTGACAAGAGCTGACAGCAGAAGTAACAAAGATTGAAGATATTATTCTAATTTTTAAAATACTATCTTAATAATTAAAAATATCTAAAATGTTTATTGAGGAGAACAGTAGCTTTTTCGTAGATTTGTAAATGAATAATTAAAATACTAATGCTAAAATTATTTTCATTCATTATTGATTGTCTTTTTTACTGCATATTATAGGTTTCTTGAAAAAAAAGAAAACTTGTTACAATAAAACTTGACAGACTAAAATTTATGCAATAAAAATTCGGAAACAACAAATGAACTCTTAAGTAGAAAAAAGGAAAAACATTTTTCATAGCAAAGAATAATTCTTCTTGAAGTCAGAATAGGATAATTCATGTAGAATTGCCATTAATTGAATATCTTTATTCTCTATTCCCAATTATGTACCACATATTCCCAATTTTATTAAATATTAAATAGATAGCTGTTGTTATTACTAATGTCATGTTAATTCTAAATCACTTTGATCTCTTGTGACAGAGTAGAATTGTCCCATTGAGCACTCTTGTCTGTACCATTCTCTATATAAAGTATCAGCTTATGGATGGATTTGATCTGCCAAATGTGATTTGACATTTGGTCAAATGATTAACTTTTTAGGTACCAGAGCTCTGTTAAAACAACTTGGATGAACTAAAGGTATATGAAAATGAAACTTAGCTAAATTCCTCTTTCTAAAGATTGGCCACGTCTAGTAACATTCCTAATTTAGGATTCTTTTCTCTAAAGAGCACCCTGAATGTGTTTCTTCAAGACAGATTTGTTTGTTATTTTAAGTAATTTGTGATGTTTTTTGTTGTTGACTTCCTTCAAGTCTAGCACGACTCCTAGAGACTCTATGAATGAAAGGCTTGAAGCCCCTCTACAACTATCTACATTTATTAAATTTCATGGAGTTTCTGGAGGCATGCTATTAGGAAGTGGATGCCATTATATATTCAATACTTTCCACCAACACTACAATTCAAAGGCCTCAATTATTCTTTTATCTTCTATTTTCATTATCCAACTTTTATATACATTGAATTATTTGAAAATATCAAATTTGGATCAAGTGTAGCTTAGTCCTTAAATTGACATCTTCACCATAGAGTACTTTAAAGAGGTCTTTGACAGAAGATTTGTAAAATTTCTATCCATTTCTGTATGAGTATATATAAAATAGAGATATATTTACATCTGTAAAAAACATTTATTTACTTATTTATTTATTTTTAAAACTCATTTTTAAAAATAAAATAAATGTATTTCTTTATTTTTAATCTTATGCTAAACACATTCCAATCATCAACATATATGTGTACTTAAAATGTTTCTTACTTGTCATTTAAAAATATTTCTTTTTAAAAATCATTTAATGTACTACTGCTGACAAATTTTGGTGATTGTGTGAGCTAACTAAAAAAGTATAATCCACTTCCTAAATAACATGCCTACGGAAACTCTATGAACTTTGATAAATGTCAATAATTGTAGAAGAGCTTTAGGCCTTTTGATCATAGTGTTGCTATGAGTTGTGCTCTACTCAAAGACAATAAACAACAACAACAGCAAGGAATAATTAGGTTTAGCAAGGCAAAATTCTTTGCTCACACATACAAAAAGTATATGATTTAATTTTACAAATAGGATAAACGTATGAGAATTTCACTATTAGTTGACTCAATAACATGTAAACTATTAACAATAATATATTGTAAAATATGTAGGCAACATGAGGATGGCTGTATCTGACCTCTACTCCACAGAAGATAATTGTTCTCAACAATATCCACAGTATGAAATCAATTTCTCTAAGGTCAGGCATTTTCCCACATATTCCTGAAATTACATTTTACTAATTTTAATACCAATTTTACTCCTCTATCAGGTCTGAAATCCGTTGCAATGATTACACAGATCTTGCAGAACTATAATCACTGTTATGAGGTTTATTAGGGAAGTTAATAGGTTATTATCAAGTTGGCCGCAGTCAGTGCTTACAGGCTCTCTGACTTTCAGACTCACAACATTGGTGAGTGTTACAAATTTTCCTTGGTCCTTCTAGTTATGGTGTCTCCCTTCAGGCTTTCAGCAAGTTTGGGCAAGAATCTAAGGCTTTGGTTGTGTGGGACAGGCTTTTCCGTGTCAGTTATTTCTCATATTAGCCTGTGATTCACTGCTAAACTGCTGCTGCTCTCATATAGGTCTTGGTCTAACTCTAACTGGCACATGAATTTCTGGCCCCAAAAGACATGCACTACACTTTCTGCTTTCTCCTCCTTTCTGGTACTAAGATCCAACTTATGCTGCTTTATCTACTCAATTTTACTTAATGGGAAGAGAAAAACTGGCAAATCTTATAATGATTACCTTATATTCACCCTATTCCCACTCATCTGGTGAAAGTCAGTCTATGGCTAGGAAAGCCATTTTTTACAACAATTTTTTTTTCTTTTTTAAATAACATTTTTATTTCATACTGATTTACTTAAAACTTTGTATACATTGTTTTTCATGTATAAGTTGTTTTTCCTTTACTCACCACTCCATCCACACATCAAATTGTGGGATGCTATAATTAACCACCCCCACCCCACCTCACCTCACCCCTGCTGGTCCACACCCCTCTGCTCTCCCCCCTCCCCCACCTTGGATCCATGCAGGAGCTGCAGGTGCTGGCGTGTCAGGAAGCATGAATGGCAACGGCAATTGTGGCAAAAATTGATTGGAGAGTTAGAGTTAAGTATAGACCAATA